TAATTAAATTGCTCAGCCGCCTATCTTTGGTTTGATTTATAAATTAATCTAAATATTTTTATAAATCAAGATTTTGATAATTGACCATTGTTTTTTTAAACCCACAAAATTCCCTCTCCCTCTTATATTTAGAGTTACTTGTCCAACATGTATGTTTTTAGGTAAATGAAGTCATAAAACAAAATATAAGTCTCAATACTAGGTGTCCAAACATAAGGTTCTAAGATTTTTGGACCAAACATATACATGTCCTAAAAAACACAATATCCGAGCAGATAGTTAAAGTAGGGTCGTCAAATAATATAACCAATTATATTTCGACATTTGTCTGATTGAATGAGAGGGATCAAACTAAGGTTATGGGTATTTATAAACCCTAATAAGAACCATATATAAATGACATATGTCGAATCAAGGTACACGCAAACATCCTATAAAATTTTATAGCTCTTATATCTAACAATCATTGACTTGTGCATCAGATTGTTTGTAGGTACCACACCATCTATTCAACTGAAACAACTAGACATTAAAGATCTTTAGCCTCGAAACCGTCAATATTTGACCATGTTCTTGTTCGAGAAAAACTTCCTTACATGAAGGAACATAACCCATATGTTTCTTCATTTTTAATTTGTACGGAACATCAAGCCTCTATACAAGTAAACCAAAACAACATTTTCCTAAGCATTGTCGTCGATTAAATCAATTTCCCAAAAAACTTCCAACTACACAAGATGATAGAGCTGACAAAGTAAATGAGTTACACTTAATAGCATATTAGGGTTGGAAAAATGGGTCGGGACTACCGTTTCCCGTCTGTTTAACCATAATTTTGGCGGGTCAAACCAGTGTTTTGATGTCCGCCCCAATTTTTGGTGGGTCAAGCTGAGGTTTTGAATATCTATCCTCTACTTTGACCACCGACCCCATTTTTTAGTGGGCTTTAATAGGGAGAGCGGGTTTTCTACCCCTAACCTTTGTTTTATCCATTTGTATTTGGAACTAAACTTTTATGAAGATGAATAATGCATGAGCAACTTTAGTGTTTTCAATTTCTTGTCCAACTCAGATCCAAAAAGACTAACCATCACTTTCACTTATTCAACTTTGATAAATGTTGTATGATCCAATGGTCTCTTAGTCACACCTTTTTGAAAATGCGGTTAACAAGTCATGATCAATTTACTTGTAACCCATGGCATCTAGTTCTTCCAATCCACCGCCTCAAATAACTTTGTTGAATCATCTTTCATTTGAAGTATTCAAACGAATTATCTTCTTTTTGTTACTAGCATGTTTAAGTACTAGGTCACAACATTGGAAAAAAGAGAATAAATTAGAAGAAATATAAAACTAAAATAGAAAATAAATTGTAAACAATATTAAATGGACAAACATTTTGTATTAGTTTCTCCTTGATACATCTTTCCACATGGTCTTTGTGTAGTGATAAGGCATACATCTCGTAAGGGCCTTCGATATATGATTATAGAGGTTGATGTGGTAATGGATCCACCTTCTCTTCTTCTGCTTCATACACCTTAGGCTTCATAGTTGAGACTTTATTCCTGCTAGTGTGATTAAGTCTGTCCATTTATGAAACATTAATAAATACATAAAAATAAATAGTAAATTATGCCTCAAACATATTTCATATTTTAGAATACAAAAGCATGAAGAACAATGTTCATATTTTATAATCTAAATTAAGGCGAGGCATGACAAACAAATTAGAGGGTGTAGGCCAAAAACTTTGATCGTCCCACAAAAATATATAAACAAAATGGGCGTGTCATGCAGGACGGACCCATTTTGCTGCCCGTAATTCCAACACTAGATGGGTTAAGCCCATGTTTATATTAGACCTCTTTTGAAGTTTAAAATTAGGGGATTGCTTAAGACACCCTAATGATTACTACCACACTCTCATGAAAAATTAAAACTACCCCTAGATTTTGGAGGTACATCTTTGGACGCACCCCAAACACACACAACCCATGCTAATTTTAAGTCATGCGCCAAATGTTTGTCTGAGTTGAATCTGTAAATGCATCTCCATAAACCTTACGAAGGTGTATTTCTGGATCATACTGAACTAGAAACAAAAACAGAACAGAAAGATGCAGAATGAAAAATAAAATTAACAATGTTAACATAAAAAATGAAACATTACATAGGTAATCATTAACATAAATCGAACATTACATTTCAACATCCAGGTGGACGTTCATACTTCTTCATAATATCTTCGCTCAATCTTGCAATCGTCGCATCCAACTCGATTTTACATTTTGTTTCGTAACGGAAAAATCTATTTCACATAACCCTTACATTTACATCTATCTTTAGCTCAAATTTATTGAACTCAATCTTTCCTTCATTGTGAATCGATGATGAACAGTATCTGAGTTCATAATTTTTTGATTGTCGTAGTATGATAGAAGATTCTTCTATATGAATTTAAGATCTACAAGAGGGGTGCACTCATTGAATTAAAATTAAATTGAGCGCTTTACCCCGTCGAAGTATGTGTCACATATGTCTACTTCAATGGGGTGAAGTATCTCATCGATTAATTGGATTTTTGGTAGAGGCGATAAAATAGATGGTTTTATAATACAAGCTCATTTGAAAACACCTTTTTAAGATTCAGGAGTTGGAGAATCCAAAAAAATGTTTGTCAACATGTTCAAGATAGGAACGAGACCACATTATTGAATTGTCACTCAGTGTTGGTTTGACCTTCTTAAGAGCAACTTCTTTTTTAACCGGTTGAGACGTTGGTTTCAAATAAGTGCTTTCTAGATAAGCAATCTTCTGTTGAGCGAGAATATGGAGTAGAGAAATTGTCTAAGGGGTGAATAGACCCTTATAAAAATAAATTTGACTGGTTTTCCGAAAATAGAATATCAGAGGTTTTTCAAAACGCGCAAAAATCTTAAAGCAAAATAGAGATCTTATGCTTATATTTTGAAATTCAACACGTTGACAAATACACAATTCACAAATATCACATGTTCAAAGACAATGATTAGTTGAGTATTTTTAGATTACACGAGATGTGTCTCGTACAATGATTCAATTAATACCGAGTTCTAACAACACTAGTTTTCAAGAGTTTAATCAGCACTAAATCTCAACTAGGTACTAATTATAACAAACCCTAACCTTATGTAATAAATTGCTACCAACTGAATAAAAGATAAACTACTCTAATAATTGAAAACCTAAGCATGTAATTACCCTACAAAAATTAAAGTAAGAGAGAGAGAGAGAGAGAGAGAGAGAGAGAGAGAGAGAGAGAGAGAGAGAGAGAGAGAGAGAGAGAGAGAGAGAGAGAGAGAGAGAGAGAGAGAGTACATTGGGGTGTATAGTGGTTCTATGTTCGTCTTCGCTTTGCCTACTCCACAGGTTTTGAAAAGTCTCTGTTAGCCCCTGTTCAGTTTGATTTGAGTCATGATATGTACATGACTCGAGTCATGCACATAAAGTCTCAAATTTTCATGATTTTCAAGATACTTTGAGATTTTCCTTTCAACTTAACTTGAATCAACAACACATATGGTTTGTGTTCCACTGACTTAACCAGTTGACTAAAAGTATCTTAATCAAACTCAAATATAAAAATTGAGTTATACATTGCTAAAAACGAATCAATTCAAAACTTGATTTAGAGATGTGCAATCACGAAGGAGACTCAATAAGTAATAATAAACGAGACGAAAGTGATAAGACAAGCAACATGATTGTATTGGGATTCTCCCCATAAATGTATTAGGGACATGCAACTTCATCTTCCTTAATTGCTCTTTGATGTGGAGTTTCATATTGTCATCGACTTTCAAAAATATCTCTTGTATCACCTCCCATTTGGTCAAAATAGAGATATTTGATTCACAGTCCTTCATCACACCATCATCATCAAACATGGGTATTTTATAGTGAGTGCAAACCTCATCCATTCGTATTGGGATATCAAGTCTCACATTCTTTGAAATTAGACAAACACATGGGTTGCACCATATTCAATGTCATGTCCGAAACGTTTTCCTTCTCTTTCTAGCGACATACAATTGGATCCTCGATTAACTTGTCGCACATGTCATAGTTATGTAAACCACATATAACAATAAATCTCCATTTGCTATTTGACAAAAGATAATCACACAACTTAAAGAGACACTCACATTTCTTGCACCAGTGTCATCTCGTTTGAATTTCTGGAGAGGAGTTTTAGACTTCCCATTTCGTTTGTAGCTCATTGTCACAAATGCAACACTTCTATATGAACCATTATCGGGCCTTTTGATTACAACATCAAACCCTAATTTAGATGTCTTAGCGCGAATCCTTTGAAACATATGATCACGAAATTCAAAGTTTTATCAGTTTGTAAATTGGTTGTCAACATCTATACCTCCTTCACATCAACACATTTAACATCTGTAAACACAATAGGTTTAGGAAAAACATTAGGTTGTATAATTTCTAATGCAAACAATAACATAAAATATTCAAAAACATATTGAAAATGAACACAAAACGAATCTGAAAATGCATCTTTGGAGAATTCATATAGAATCCGAAAATGCATTTCTAAACACAACATTACTTTTTTAGCTAGAAGAACACACTCTCAAGACCTAAATCTCCACCACTAGATTAACCATCACGAGTTTTTACTGAATTATTAAATTAAAAATAAATAGATATTAAATATTAAATTTTATAAAAAAATATTAAATGAGACTCTTTTGATACATATTTTACTTAGGTGCATGGTGCATTTGAAAATACATTTTCCACATAAAAAAACATTTTCAAATTTTTATATAATGATTTTCAACCACTTAAATTGAATTAACATTCCATAAAACAAAAAACTAAACATGTTTGAATAAAAAAAACAGGGTTTTAGTTTCCAGAAGGAAAAGAAAACGAGGGGTTTTAGTTATGACACTGGCAATTCCATTTCATAGTTGAATTGAACTTGAAAGATGATGAATAAATTCAAAAATGCGGTGCTTCCATTGATGAAGCTTCAATTCCAACATCGTGGCATAGCGAAAGTTCGCTTAAAATGGGTGAAAAACCGAAGCATCGACCACATCATCGACAAAGAAACCGATCTCAAAGCCGCTTCACTTCTCAAAGACGCAATCAAACGTTCCTCCACCGGTTTCCTCACCGCCAAAACCTTCGCCGATTGGCAAAAGCTTCTCGGCCTAACCGTCCCCGTTCTCCGATTCATGCGCAGGTATCCAACTCTCTTTCACGAGTTCCCTCACCCTCGCTGGAACTCTCTTCCTTGTTTCCGTTTAACCGAAACCGCGCAGCTTTTAGATTCTCAAGAACAGAATATTTACACCGTTCACGAAAACGACACCGTTGAGAGACTCTCTAGGTTACTCATGATGACGAAAACTCGTACTGTTCCTCTTCAGTCTCTTTATCCTCTCAAATTTGATTTAGGTTTCCCTGATTCGTTTGAGAAAACCCTAATTCCGAAATATCCTGAGAGATTTCAGTTTGTTAAGGCTTCTAATGGTGTTTCCGCCGTTCGTCTCGCGCAGTGGTGCGATGAATTTGCGGTTTCGGCTTTGCAGAAGAGTAATGAGTGTGAGAGTGATCAGTATAGGGAGTTTAAGAGAGGGAAAACGGCGTTGGTTTTTCCGATGAGGTTTCCGAGAGGTTACGGTGGGCAGAAGAAGGTTAGGTTTTGGATGGATGAGTTTCAGAAATTGCCTTATATTTCGCCATATGCTGATTCTTCTAAGATTGATCCTAAAAGTGATTTGATGGAGAAGCGCGTTGTTGGGGTTTTGCATGAGATTTTGAGTTTGTGTTTGCATAAGAAGACTAAGAGGAACTACTTGAGAAGTTTGAGGGAGGAGTTGAATCTTCCTCATAAGTTTACTAGGATTTTTACTAGGTATCCTGGGATATTTTATCTTTCGTTGAAGTGTAAAACAACCACTGTTACTCTTAGAGAAGGGTATGCGAGGGGAAAATTGGTGGATCCGCATCCACTTGCTCGCCATAGAGATAAGTTTTACCACGTGATGAGGACGGGGCTTCTTTATCGTGGTGATGGTTCCTTGAAAGCTGGGGAAGATGCTTTGATGGTTGATTCTATGGAGAATGATGAAATTGGAGACGGGGATTCTGAGGAGGAAGAGGTTGAAACAAGCGATGAATTCTGCGAGGATGAAGTTTCGGACTCGGATGATAGTAGTAGTGAGTAAAGTTTGGTTTTCAATGAAGCGGAATTGTAATTTGTATTCATGAGACACGCAATAGGATGACTACTTTGAAGAAATTATTTGCTTTCCACCCACCTGGTTAGTAGCTAGTTCTTTTTCAAACTAGCAATTTTGGTGGGTTTCAAATTGTAACCAGTCTGCATTGGCTTATATTATTTGATTTGTCTTTGCTAGGAACTGGGAAACATTCTAATAGTTTGCTATTTATATGCTTTTACTGTAAAACCTTTGGGTGGGGAGTGCTCTTATTACTATTATGAACATTAAAAGACTGGTGGAGTGAAAATCTCATTCTCTTTGCTAACAATGTCAATAGGCAGGGCATGTTTGAGTATTTAAAGATTAAGGGAAGCTTGATAATGATTTGCAATAGTTGTGAGCTTTTTATTGATAAATAATTGAATATGACTATGTGAGATTTGAGAAAATTTGGTACTCTGATATCTGCTGTGCAATGTGATACCAGTTCAAATATGTTGAATGATTAACATATGTAGCTAATTAGTTTGTTTTCAGCAAATATTCGCATTTAGTCCCACAACTAGGAATTCCAATCTTTTGTAAGCTTGGATTCATGCAAACTAACTATGAAGTTTATTTTCTACATCAGTTATTAACTTAGTGAGTGAAATAAATTTAAACTTTGGCGATATGGTTGTATTTAGACATAATTCACAACGAGATATCTTGGCATAATTTGATTCATATAATGTGTCAATATGATGGAGTAAAAAGTACAGCATTTGATGCTAAGTTGCATGGATTACAAAACAACTAGGATCCAGTATTTATTTGCATTTAATCTAATTGCCAAATGGCAACCATATATAGTACATTTCTTTCTGTAAAGACATACTGGTGCTATGGTGGGTGGGAAGAAGAAATGGTTAGGCTGCTGATTATTGCATTATTGATTGAATGAAATGAAATCCTGTTTCAGGTTGGCCAGTGATATACGCAAATATAATCATTTAAGGTTGAGATTTATTCCCTGAGGCACAGACATGGTCTTCATTCTCTGGGCATAGTGTGGAATGCAAAGGATGGAATTTGTGTGAATGGATTTAGTTTATCTTTTTTGAGGCCGGTTTGTTGAAAGTTTTTGTAATTTTATGCTGTATTTAATTGGTACATTGACATTAAAATGTTGTTTCAATTTTTGTTCATACAACTTGGCACTTAGGCTGCTGTAGAGGATGGAAAATAAATCCAAAATATAAGAAAGAAATAATTTATTAGAATTTAATTGATATGCGCTGAGAGTGTATTTACACTGTCAACCAATCACTCTCATGTATTCTTTCACATCAAACAGTAAATTTTAAGTTAATAATATGACATGACAAATTGATAAATTCTTATTGCATAATAGTGTAAAATTAGTTTGCCTATTGGATAATAGTGTAAAATTAGTTTACACTGCGCAGTAGAGCATGCCAATTAAACTCAATTTATAATACCTTAAACATTGTATATTGGTGGTCACTGGTCACCCTTCAATCGCAAGTACCAAATAAAATGTTCAGTTGCGGCGTTTGGCTTCAATAGGTCCCAAACAATGAAACAATAAATGTATTCACTCTCATGACTTACATAGTTAAAGATATCGAAGCAAATAAAATATGGATAGTCCCTTTCTAAGTTCATAATATTACTAGTATAACATTATTTTTCGATATATTTTATGGGATTCATAATAATAAAATAAAAGTGCCCTAATAAAACACCTAAGCTGACAGACATTGACCGATCAGTTCCGTATGGCGCCAAATGGATTGATTTTGAGCCCTCACTTGGCCATTGACCTTTTCATGCATACTACTACTATACTATGAGAAATGATATTTATACATCCAAAATTGTCAAATAGGTGTTCTTTGATTCTATGGTGTATCACTGTATTTTTGAATTTCATGAAAATATATGATTAAAAAGTAGAAGAAAGATAGACACGATGGTATAATATTGATACATAGTGCCAAATATGATGTCTAAATTTTGGTGTTCAAATAACATACCTCTATCAATAATATCTATTCCACTCTTAACTTCTTAACTCTTTATTTATTTATTTATGAAAATGGTCCAATCCTTTTTATAGGTATTTGATAGCAACCTTTTAGTATTCAACTTTTCAGTAGCAACATAGCAACTTTAAATTAGAGAATTTTTTTATAATACTCTGTATATTTCTTGTTAATACACAAGGTGGTGAAAACAAAAGAATGAGAGGATATTTATTTCGTTGTAATGATGGCTATAAAAATTATAAAAAAATGATGATATAAATGACAGCTACCGCTAGTTTATTTATACATAAATACTAGAGTCACATAGACAACATACTAAAATACTAAATTACCCTTCAATATCATCCCTTAATTTAGGATTTTCTAATCAAAACTAACAACACCAATTACATCCCTTAAGTGAAGAAATTGATCCGTCTTGATCATCTTTGTCAGAACATCTGTCAGCTACTTCTGGGTGCTACAGTGCAGAACTTCTAGCACTCCATTATAGACTTGACTTCTCAGAAAATGATACTTTGTCTCAATATGCTTGCTTCTCCAATACAAAATTGGGTTTTTGGCAAGATTGATTGCAGACTTGTTATCAATCATCAGCTTCAGAGGTTTGTTTACTTTGATCTTCAGATCCTGCAGTAAATTCAAAATCCATACAGCTTAACATGCAACTGCAGCACCTGCGATGTACTCAACTTCACACGTTGATAGTGCAACAACAAGTTGTTTCCTGGAACACCAAGAAATAGGACTTCCCATAAACTTAAATAAGTATCCAAAAGTATTTCTCCTGTCAACTCTATCTCCACACCAATCAGAGTCTGAGTAACTCATCAGCTCTGAATTAGTCTTTCTTCCAAAAGGGAATAACACTCCTTACTTCAGAGTTCCCTTGATATACCTCAGAATCTTGACAACAACTTGGTAATGAGACCACTTGAATTTACTCGTGAACCTACTAACCATTCCAACTGCATAGCAGATATCAGGTTTGGTATTACACAGATACCTCAGAGAACCAACCAATTGTTTGAAGGTTGTAGCATCCACATCCTCACATTCAGAATCAGAATCCAATTTGTGATTGGTTACGGAACGAGTGACAGAAACCTTACAATTTTGCAGCTTAAATCTCTTCAGAAGCTCAAGTTTATATTTCAGCTAATACAAAATGATACCCTTCCTAAAGTACATTCATCCCTAGAAAATATGTCATTTTCTCGAGGTCAGTTATTTCAAAATCATTCATCAGCACCTTGTTGAACTTAGCTATCTCTTGTTCAGAACTCCTTGTCAGCAATATGTCATTAACATAGAGACACATCAGAATTATATAGGTATGCTGAACATAAACACCGCACTCCATCTCACATTTCTGAAACCCTTACTCCTTGAAAAACAAATCAATATTCATATTCCAAGCTCTGGACGCTTGCTTCAATCCATACAAAGCTCTATGTAATCTATACATCATCCCTTCATGATTCTTTTTAACAAATCCAGAAGGTTGTGACACGTATACCTCTTCTTGTAATGGACCGTTTAGAAATGCAGATTTTATATCTAAATGTGTCAGAGGCAAATTCCTTTAGCAGTTATTGCAATCACCAGTCTGATTGTTTCATGTCTTGCTACAGGTGCAAACACTTCAGAATAATCCAACCCAGGTTTCTGTTGAAATTCTCTTGCTACTAACCTCGCTTTATGTTTGCCAATTGATCCATCTGACTTTAGCTTCACCATGAAAATGCATCTGACGCTAATGACTTTTTTGTCCTTTGGAAGCTTAGTCAACTTCCAAGTTTTATTTCTTTCAATAGCCTCAAGTTCTTTTTTCATGGCCTTCATGTAAGTTTAGAGTATGCCTAAGAGGGGGGGGGGGGGGGTGAATTAGGCTTTAGAAACTTTTTCCGGTTTTTCGAAACTCTTGAATTTCTTCTTTAAGTTCTTGGTGATGAAAGTAGTAAAAAGAAGAAAGGAAAAAATGAACACGGAGATTTATAGTGGTTCCCTTCACAATCCGAAGGTACTCCACTCCCCTTTCCACATGAAAGAGAGTCTTCACTATAGTTTTAGAAAGTACAACCTATCACACCATCAACCGGTGAGGCCTACAATCTAACAACTAATCAATAACTAGTGTGTGTCGCTACTGCGAAAATCGGCGCCGACTGACAGAAGAGTCGCCACCGTGCGTTATTTATCCCAACGGAGGGAAAGGAAACGCTCGAAGTAAACCTCGCAAAAAACGGGAAAGGTATGGTCATCGCAACCAAAACCTGGATTCGGAAGTCGGTTACGCAAGGGGAAGGTATTAGTACCCCTCACGTCCGTCGTACTCGACGGGATCCACGCTTGCTTGGTTTGTCTAAAGGATGCAAAACAATCTATCTACGACTGCTAAATCTAAACGGAAGGGAATTGACTCGATAGAGCGTCACACTCTACGCCTACATATTCTCAAGAGAGAAAGTTAGAGTCAACGTAGTTCGAGAAACTACAGGGAATTGGCTCGCCAAGACTTCGCGTCTTGTGCCTACGTACTTCCACACTGCATGGAAGATCAGAGCTTACGTAGTCCAGGCTAACTACGGCTAAGCAGGGTGTTCTCACATAGGAATGAGAAATCAATCTGGTTTTAAAGGTACGGGAACCTAAGGGAAAAAGCTACGGTCTGGTCTCAAATGCGCTCGGGCAAGAGAAAAGGATAACATCAGTCGTCAGTGGGAAAGTCTCGATCGCACAGCAGCGAGAGAACAAAAGGTTAGTTGTTAGTGTGCTCGCTAGGATATCGCATCCTATGCCTACATAGTCTCGTCTGGTACGAGAAATCAGAGCAGCTGTAGTTCGGCTACTTCGGGACCACAGCTCAAATCTCGTTTTATTGATATTCTGAAAATGGGTTACAATGATTGAATACGGGAAATAAACTCCTAAAAACCCTATCCTATTCAT